CCTGGAATTAGCTACCAAATTTTGTGATTATGGGTATTCTTTTGGGGAGGGGGTTCATAGTTTTGATCTGTTTTATAAAGGGATCCCTCATCCCCTAGAGTTAAGAGTCACTGCTTAGCCCTGGCCGGTTTGGCTCAACAGTCAGAGCGTTGGCCTGCGGATCAGAGAGTCCCAGGTTCGGTTCCCGCTAAGGGCATGTACCTCAGTTGCAGTTTGTCCCCGGCCCCAGTTGGGGTCATGTGGATGGCAGCCAGTGTATGTGTCTCGCCCACATCAATGTTTCTCTCTCTCTCCCTCCCACTCTGTCTGAAGATAAAAGCAAAACTGTCCTCGGGTGAGGATTTAAAAAAAAAAAAAAAAAAGAGTCACTGCTTATACCTCAATTTAGCAAAATCTCATTTGTGCTAATAAAAATAAAGGCAGAAAAAACAAACAAGGGAGAATATATATACACACATAATGTCTAAAGCAGGTTTTTCTCCACCTCTGCACTAGTCCTATCTTGAACCAGATCATTCTTTTATCTTTTATTCTTTTAAAGGAAAAAAAAATTTTTAATGGTATTGCCCGGCCAGTGTGGCTCAGTAGTTGAGGATCGACCCATGCACCAAGAGGTTGCCGATTCGATTCTCGGTCAGGCACATGCCCAGGTTGTGGGTCAAATCCCCAGTAGGGAGCATGCAAGAGGCAGTCAATCAATGCTCTCTCTCACTGATGTTTCTCTTTCTCTCTCTTTCTCCCTCTCCCTCCCTCTCTCTCTAAAATCAATAAAGAAATAAAAATTTTAATAAAAAACTTTTTATTGATTGATGTTAGAGAGACAGAAATATTTATTCATTGTCCCACTTATTTATACATTCATTGGTTAATTCTTGTATGTGCCCCGACGGGGGATCCAACTCACAATCTTGGAGTTTCAGGATGATGCTCCAACCAACTGAGCTACCCAGCCAGGATGCAATGGCTTATATTTTTTGAAAATTTACTCAATGTGTGGCCTCACAGAAGTAAGTTAGGTTCTCATATCTGCTACTGCATTTAATCTGTTGTGTTATCATCAGTCCTGAAACCACTCAGGGACACCAAGTTTGTGGGTTCAATCCCTGGTTAAGACACATAAAAAAACAACCAATGAATACATACATCAGGGGAACAACAAACTGATGTTTCTCTCTCTCTCTCTCAAAATTAATAAATAAAATTAAAACAAAACAAATCTTTAACTATGGAATCACCTTCCATTTTCAAAATATAAAAAGCAAAGCAATAAGAAAAAGCCAGCATAATTTTTTATATTTTTAAAAATATATGTTTATTGATTTTAGAGAGAGGGGGAGGGACAGGGAGAGAGAGAGAGAAACATCAACTGGCTGCATCCTACACATGCTCCAACCAGGGGTCATACCTGCAACCTGGGCATGTGCCCTGTCCGGGAATTGAACAGGGGACCTTTTGGTGCACGGGACAATCCTCAACCAACTGAGTCACATCAGCCAGGGATAGCTTGATTTTTTTTTTTTTTTTAATCCTCACTGGATTTTTTTTTTTTTTTTCATCTATTTTCAGACAGAGTGGGAGGAGGGGAGAGGGAGAGAGAAAGAGAGAGAAACATCGATGTGAGAGGGACACATCAACTGTTTGCCTCCCACACGACCCCGACCAGAGCCGGAACCAAACAGCAACCAAGGTATGTGCTCTTGACTAGAATCAAACCCACGACTCTTTGGTCCGAGGGCCGTCGCTCTAACGGCTGAGCCAAACCGGCCAGGGTTTGCTAGCTTGATTTTTTTAAAAAAAGAACATAAACGTTAGGATTTTGGGTTGTTACCTTCTGGACAAACTCAGCAAAATTTCCAGCGCTGGAACCACAATGTCCCATCTTGCTGGCGAGACAGACAGCGCCAATTGATCAGGACGGCAGACAGCACTAAATGATGGGGACATCCTTCCCCGCTGAGCAGAAGTTTAAACTCCTTATCAGCACTGTGCTCTGGGCAGCCACAGGGAATCGATTAATCTTAACAAAGAAGCGGAAACATATTTGCCATCCCAAATTTCGAGCATGACTGCCAGAAGTTCTTGAAACCACTGAAAATGACTCAGAATATTTCCCCCGGGGAGTCTGGTCCTGCTGAATCTTCCTTCTTTCCTGCTAACCTACACCCGCCTCCCTCCAAATCTCCCCATCCCATCCCCCTCCTTTGTTACAGAAAAACAAACCGAAGCCCCAGAGATTAAAAGACTTGCTCCAGCCCGGCTGGTGTGGCTCAGTGGTAGAGCGTCGACCCATGCACCAAGAGGTCGCTGGTTCAATTCCCAGTCAGGACACATGCCCAGGTTGTGGGCCCGATCCCCAGTGGGGGGCATACAGGAGGCAGCCAATCGACGTTCTCTCTCACTGATGTTTCTATCTCTCTCTCCCTCTCTCTTTCTCTCTCTGTAATAATCAATAAAAAGAAAAAAAAGAAAAGACTTGCTCCAGGTGGGAGAATGAGTTTGCACCCAGTTCCTGACAGAAAACGTAGCTTCCCAGAGAGTAGACGCTGGGGTTAGACAGGCCTGGATGTGAGTTCTCCTATGCATCTTGCAAGCTAGGTGACCTCAACTCCCTGGGTCTCCATTTCTGCACCTACAAAATGGGACTCTGTGGAATGCCTAGTTCATAGGATAGCTGGGAGACTCTAATCGGGTAACCAATGAAGAGTGCCCAGCACACTGTCTTCTGACACAGAATGACAGCTTGATAAGTGTGGGTGCGGCTGAAGTTCTGAGTGTCCCTGGGAGGTTAAGGCAAAGAGCCCTGGCCAAGTGGCTCAGTTGGTTGGAGCATTGTCCTATACACCAAAATGTCCCGGGTTCAATTTCCAGTCAGGGCACATGCCTAAGTTTCAGGTTCAATTCCTGGTCCTTGGTCAGGGTGGATTGATGGTTGTCTCTCTCTCACATCTCTCTCTCTCTCTCTCTCTCTCTCTCTCTCTCTCTTCCTCTCTCCCTCCCTCCCTTTCTCCTTTCCTCTCTCTCTCTCTCTCAAGTCAATAAAAACATATCCTTGGGAGAGGACATTTTTTAAAAAGACAAGGCAAAGCTAGCACTATGTTGTGTTTCCTTTTCACTACATCTCAAGAACAAGTTTATCAAACATTCAGGTTCTTTTTAGTCCCTAAATGTAGGCAGTGAGATCACAGATCTGTGAGCCCAGTGTGTGTGTGTGTGTGTGTGTGTTTCCTGCACCAAGGTTGCTGGGAACATCTCATGAGGTCCTACAGGAGAGGAACGTGTGTGGTTCATAGTAGGTGTGCGATCAATGGTAACAGTTAGTTCTCAACAGAATGGCTGAGCCGAATGTCAGGAGAACCCATCACTCCCTCAAGGCTCAAGGTTCTGCCAATTTCTACCCGTGTGACCCTGGCGGAGTCATTTCACCTTTGTGGCCCTAGTGAGTCCAATAGACTCCAAGTCTCGGGGAGAAAAATTAAATGAAACAGTGAATGTAGAAAAAAAAGGCGAGTAATAGTAACAGTACTCTAAGTGGTCAGAGTAATACCAAGAGTTCGTTTTTATTGATCCTGACCCGTGTCATTTGCTGTCCTACATGCTTTACACGGACTGAATGATAAAGTGCTGCTGTTAATAACGCTGAGGATTAAGCAGTTAGACAAACACCAATCTAACCTTATTCCCTGACCCTAGGGGTAGAGACCTGAACCCTGCCCTCTGTAGCCAATGCCCTCCCCCTGGGCAGGCAGAGACGTGTTTGAAATAAAGTTTATTGAAGTTCTGTTGGTATTTACATATGATACACGGTAAATAACAGAGCCAGGCCCCAACCCACCCCGGAAGCCCCCCTCCCCCCAGCCTCGTTAAAAATCGCTGCGTAAAGACAAGTTAACTGCTGCGGTCCCCCTCCCCCCTCCCACCTAAGATGCAAACTAAAAGCCCCCGCCCTCCCCTGCCTCCCCCCACCCCGGGGGCCTTTCTGCTTCCGTGTACAACACTGTGCTACCTCGCCCTTCCTCCCCTAATAAGGGGGGTGGTGGGCGAATTTCTAGGAACCCCCCCCAAATCTGTCCAAGGGGGAGGACGGACCCTTGAAAGAGGCCAGAGTTTGGAGTCTGAGACGGGAAGGGGAACTTCAATGAGTGGGGAGTGCCAGAAAGTGGAAGACTTCGAGGTTTGGGGGGTGTTGACCCCCGCTACTGTCTCTCCCTCCCCCGACGGGGCCTCGAGGGGAAAGAGGCGGGCGCAGGTGTGGAGACGGCGTGGGATCCCTCACCCTAGGGTCTCCCTCCTTGTGTGGTGCGCAGGGCAGGTGCACCCAGGGGTTTGGGAGGAGCGGTGGAAAGAAGGAGACAGACTTAGAGGAGGAAGAGGAAGAAGAAGAGGAAGAAAGGGACGCGAAGGGCAGCAGAAAAAGCGAGAACATTGGGGAGACAGCACCCCCTGAAAGGCAGGTAACCCCCAGGAGGCCGAGAAGAGCCCAGCCGGTGAGAAAGGGGGTCTCCCAGGGGAGCAGAGAAGGGTGTGGGAGGCCAGATCAACCATACCCACGGCCTCCAGACCCCAACCCACCCGGAGCTGTGGGCGGAGCAAAGAGGCAAGGCCCGGAGGTGGGAGGGGGCCAGGAAAGAGAGAATGAGGGGCCGAAGGGAGAAGAGGATGGTTGGCATTCCTGGCGGCTGCCGGACCCTACTCTCCAGCCCAGCGCCCCTTTGGGGAGGCGGCAGGTTGGGGGTCTCAGGGGAGGTGGACGCCTACAAGGTGGAACCTAGAAGGAGGGACTGGGGTTGGGAGGGCGGGGCCAGAGGAAGGGGCGGGGCCTAGGGAAGGGCAGGCCATCGAGGGAGGGGCCATCTGGAAGTGAAGGGCCCAATGACGTAAAAGGCCAGGGAAAGAGGAGGGGCGATTGAAAGGGGGAGGGGCTAGGGCGGTGGGCGTGGCCGCTGGGAGAGGGCGGGGCTAAAGCGTGAGCAGCATCCTCCAGGTGGAAGCGGAGTCCCGAGGAGGGGGAGGAGCTGCGTGGAGGGGAGACCCCAAAGAGGAGGCGGAAGGGCGCTCCGAGGGGCAAGGCCTCAGCAGGGCGAGGTGGAGATGTGCAGGTGGTCTGGGTACTTGATGGCGGGAGGGTAGTTCTGCGTCATCTGGATGGACACGTCGCTGGAGATGTCGGAGGGGCTGCGGCCGCGGCGCCACGCCTCGGGCTGCAGGAACTGGCCGGAGTAGTCGGAGCAGTCGCTGAGCCGCGGGCGGTAGAAGGCCGGGTGCGGGCGGTACATCTCCTCCTCCGCGTAGCGTTTGGTGAACAAGTACACTGACATCACGCCAGCCCCCTGTGGTAAGGCAGGGTCAGTCCCAGAAGCTGGTCCCAGGCTTACTTGACGCCTCTAAGACTCAAGACCCCCAGGCCCCAAGATTCCAGGCCTCCAGCTTCCTCCTCCCCCAGGACCCCAGGAGTTGGAGCTCCCAGTCCCCTTTCTCCCCAGGACCCCAGGAGTCCAGGTTCCCAGCCTCCTCTCCCCCAGGACCCCAGGAGTCCAGGTTCCCAGGTTCCTCCTCCCCCAGGACCCCAGGAGTTGGAGCTCCCAGTTTCCTTTCTCTCCAGGACCCCAGGAGTCCAGGTTCCCAGCCTCCTCTCCCCCAGGACCCAAGGATTAGATCCTCAGCCACTACTCTTAATCCAGAGTCTACACTCCCAGGCTCCTCTTCCTCCTGGACCCAGGAATCAGGCCCCCCCGACCCCTCCTCTTTCAAAACTCTCATGTGGACCCCAGACATCACCTCTTTGAGTAGGAAGGAGGACGCAGCGAAGGCAAAAGACCACCCGTAGCGATAGTGAAAATACTGCTCAGAGCTGCTGGGCCGGTTCATGACCTCGTCATTGATGCTGGAAATGTAAAGAACCAAGCCCACCACCAAGGAGAGGCCTGGGGGAGCAGAGGGGTACCCTTGGTCCATTAGCAGTGACACCCTTTCCCCAGCCCAGACCCTCCCCCCCTCCCACCAAGGTTCTCTCCCTCTCCTCCCTACTCGGGCCTAGACTAACTTCTAGTTTTTGAAGCCCTTTGGATGCTGGGCCTGGGCTGGGCGCAGATATCCTGGAGGTGAATTACCTTCCTTCTCCCTCACCCCAAATGTGTGTCCAGGAGCTCACAAAGTCATTGGGGAAGGCAAATATGGACATTGGTCACCAGGCAGGGTCAGGATCAGAACAGGGTCAGGGGGGGCCAAAGAAAGCTTCCTGGAAGAATGGCCCTTGTTCAAGTCCTACAGGATGAGGCTCAGGGAAGAATAAGAGTGTCCACTGTACCACTCTGGGCAGAGGGAACAGCAGGGACAAAAGCTTGGAGGCTGAGCATGACCTGACCCATCCATGTGGCTACGGCACAGGCCACCGCCACAAGAAATAAGCCCAGAGAAGGAGGCAGAGACACAACCATGATGAGCCTCGCATGCTAGGCTGAAGGGCTCAGCCTTGAGGCCAAGGGCACTAGGGAGCCATGGAAGGTCTGGGGCAGAGGAAAGACAGGGTCAGAAGATCTTTTGGGGGCTGATTGTTTCTGAAAAGAGATTGGAAGGGAGACACTGAAGTTCCGTGTTCCAGGGGGGAGGAGGATGAGGCCTGAGCTGAAGCTGTCTGGATAATCATAACCACAACATCAATAATAATAATAATAATAATTAGGAACTGCTTACAGAGGCCTTGCTCTGTGTCAGGCACCATTCATTCTCAGTACCATATATGCATTAACTCATTCAAACCTCACAACAACCCTTTCAAGGAGGTACCATTTTTATCTCCATTGACGGATGAGGAAATAGAGGCACATGAGAAAGGTGGAGAGGAGAGGCCTGGGTTGAGAATTTTTAAGAGGCAAATACTTCCTCAAGGTGAACTTTCTTTTTTTTTTTTTAATCCTCACCCGAGAACATTTTTGCATTTATCTTCAGATAGAGCGGGGCGGGGGGGGGGGGGGGAGAGGGGAAGAGAGAGAGAAACATCGATGTGAGAGGGACACATCCACTGGTTGCCTCCCACACGACCCCAACCAGGGCCAGGAAAAACCACAACCGAGGTATGTGCCCATAGCAGGAACCAAACCCAGGCCTCTCTGGTCCACAGGCCGACACTCTAACCATTGAGCAAAATTGGCCAGGGCTGAACCTTCATTTTTTTTAACAGTAGGCATGCCAAGGGTGGCTTAAGGAAGCTACAGAGTCCCCTGCCCTAAATTAATCCATGTAATCCTTATCAGCATCTTCCCCCAGAATCCTACAAATAAGCTCTTGTGTGCCCATCACCCCCAGAATAAATAGGAATTCCTCCCATTGCCTACAATAGGGTTCAGCAAACTATGGCTGGTGGGCTAAGTCAAGCCCACCTTCTGTTTTGGTCTGGCCTACTAGCTAAGAATGGTTTTTATGTAACTAAATGGTTATAGAGAAATCAAAAGAATGGTATTTCGTGGCATGTATAAAATATGTGAATTGCAAAATATTAAAGATAAAATAACCGTATGACCCAGCAATTCCACTCCTACATGTCTACCCAAGAGACTTGGAAACATAGAAACATATGTCTACACTAAAACTCGTGCACGAATGTTTGTAGCAGCATTATTCATAATGGCCAAAACGTGGAAACAACCCAAATGTCCATCAACTGCATGGATAACACAATGTGGTATAGCAATAAAAAGGAATATTATTCAGCCATAAGAAGGAATGAAGTACAAATTTATGCTACCACATGGATGAATCTCGAAAATATGCTACATAAAAGAAGCCAGCCCTGGCCAGTTTGGCTCAGCAGTTAGAGTGTCTGCCCAAGTACCCGTAATGAGTCATGGGTTCAATTCTGGTCAAGGGTTGCAGTTTGTCCCCAGCCCTGGTCAGGTCGTGCAGGAGGCAACCAGTCAGTGTGGTTCTATCACATCGATGTTTCTCTCTGTCTCTCTCTCTCTCTCCCTCCCACTCTATCTAATGATAAATGGAAAAATATCCTCGGGGGAGGAATTAAAAAAAGAAGAAGAAGAAGAAGAAGCCAGACGCAAAAGACCACATACTTTATGGTTCTGTTTATATGAAATGTTCAAAACAGGCGAATCCACAGAGACAGATTAGTGGTTGCCAGGGAACGGGGTGGACGGGGATTTTGACTGGCTGCTGTTAAAGAGTGTGAAGTTCCTTTTGGGGGTGACGAAAATGTTGTGAAATTAGGTAATGGAGATGGTTGCACAACCTTGTGAATTATGTGTGGGAGAAAAAACAGAATTAGATGACCTTTAGGTTATATGAATTATAATACTTCAATTTTCAAAAGTCTGTGAATTTCAAATTTCAGGGTCCATAAGTAAAATTTTATTGCAATACAGCCAGTATATTTACACCTTGCCTGTGGCTGTCACCGCAAAGTTTAAGTAATTGCAACAAAGACTGTGCAGGCAGCAAAACTGGAAATGTTTCCTATCTGGCTCCTGGGCAAACGCTCCTGAGCGCTGAACTAGTGCCCACATGGGCTGGTGCCTGCCGGGCTCGTCCCGGGCCAGCCTCCCCTTGCTCCCTCTGCTGAGACCACATGAATTCCTCATGTTTGCTTGAATACAGCAAGCTCACTTCTGCCTCAGGGACTTTGCACTTGCTGTTCTCTCTCCCTGGAATGCTCTCCCCCAGATGTCTCTGTCTCTCTCTCCATTACCTCATTTAGCTCTCCTCTTCTTCATCACTTGTTTAGAAAGGATTTCTGTGATCTCCCTGATTAAAAAAAAACAACAACACTCTCTCTCATGCAAAGTAAGAGAAACGTGTGGCTCACTGGTTGAGCATCGACCCATGCACCAAGAGGTCACCGGTTCAATTCCCGGTCAGGGTACATGCCCACGTTGTGGGCCTGATCCCCAGTGCAAGGCATGCAAGAGGCAGCCAATCGATGTTCTCTCTCATCAATGTTTCTCTCTCTCCCTCTCCTTTCCTCTCCCTCTAAAATCAATTTTTAAAAATGTTTAAAAACAAACTACTAGGGGCTACCGTGTCTCATGTAGCAGATTATCAAATGTTATAAAGCTTGCCTTGTCCAGTTTGGCTCAGTGGTTGGAGCATTGGCCCAAGGACCAATGAGTCACGGGTTCGATTTCATTCAAGGGCACCTACCTCAGTTGCAGTTGGTCCCTGGCCCTGGTAGGGGTTGTGCAGGAGGCAGCTAGTTGATGTGTCTCTCTCACACTGATGTTTCTCTCCCTCCCTCTCTCTCCCTCCCACTCTATCTGAAGATAGATAGGAAAAAAAATTCTCAGTGAGGATTTAAAAAATAAAATTAAGCCCTGGTCGGTTTGGCTCAGTGGTTGGAGCGTTGGCCTGCAGACCAGAGAGTCCCAGGTTTGGTTCCCGCTAGGGGCACGTACCAAAAAAAATTAAAAAGTTATGAAGACAACATTTTTTTCTGGGGAGGCCAGAGGAACAAAAGCTCTTTTTTTAAAATCCTCACCTGAGGATACTGTTTCAAATATCTCCAGATAAAGTGGGAGGGGGGAGAGAGAGAGAGAGAGAGAGAGAGAGAGAGAGAGAGAGAAACATCAACATGAGACACATTGCCTCCTGCATGACCCCGACTAGGGCCAGGGACCAACTGCAACCAAGCTACGTGCCCTTTGACCAGAATCAAAACTGCAACTCTTTGGTCCTCGGGTTGAAGCTCCAACTGCTGAGCCAAACCAGCCAGGATGGAACAAAAGCTTATATGTTGCCATTGGGGATGCAAAATGGTGCAGCCCCTACGGAGAGGAGTTTGACCATAACTAACAAAACCACACAGGTATTTATCCTTCAACTCAGCAACTTCACTCCTAGGAATTTACCCTGAAGATATCTGCCCAATGATACGGAAGCTCATAGGCACATGTTAATTCCCCGCAGCAGTGTTTATAACGGCAAAATATCTGAAACAACCCGGCTACCCTTGATTCATGAAATGATCTATAAAATCCCCTAACGGAGTCCTGAGCCACCGGCCAAGGAGAATGAGGTCGAGCACTGTGAACTGATGTGGATGGAGGTCAGTGGCCGTCCAGACTACATCACTAATTAAAAACAAAAGAGAATGCACAAAAGAGTATACAAAATGCTACTGTTTTTTTGTGGTTTTTTTTTAAAGCCTCACCCGAGGATATTTTCCTCATTGATTTTCAGAGAGTGGAAGGGAGCCAGGGCCAGTTTGGCTCAGGGGTTAGAGCATCGGCCTGTGGCCCTCAAGGTCAAGGGTTTGATTCCCAGTCAAGGGCATGTACCTGGGTTGCAGGTTTTATCCCCAGCCCCCAGCCGGTGTCGTGCAGGAGGCAACCAATAGATGTGTCTGTCTCACATTGATGTTTCTCTCCTCTCTCTCTCTCTCTCTCTCTCTCTCTCCCTCCCTCCCTCCCTCCCTCCCTTCCACTCCACCTTAAAAAAAAATCAATGAAGCCCTGGCCAGTTTGGCTCAGCGGTTAGAGCGTCGGCCTGCGGTCCGGAGAGACCCGGGTTCGGTTCCCGCTAAGGGCACGTACTTCGGTTGCAGTTTGTCCCCGGCCCTGGTTGGTCGTGCGGGTGGCAGCCACTCGATGTGTCCCTTCACGTCGATGTTTCTCTCTCTCTTCCCTTCCTCTCTCTCCTTCCCACTCTATCTGTACAAAAAATGGAAAAATATCCTCGGGTGAGGATAAAAAAATAAAAAAAAAATAAAAAAAAAAAAATCAATGAAAAATATCCTTGCATGAGGATTTACAAAACAAAAAACAAAAACAAAACCATACTAAAAAGGAAACCTTAAAAAAAAGAGAGTGCCCGGCCAGTGTGGCTCAGTGGATTGAGCGCCATTCCATGGACTGAGAGGTACCAGTTTGATTATGGGTCGGGGCACATGCTCGGGTTGTGGGCTCGATCCCCAGTAGGAGGC